AAGTCATCACAGAAGGTTATGGAGGACTGTTTTGGGATGTTGCTCCATTGGTTGACCGTTTGGAAGGGCGTGTCTATGATGCATGCTGGGTGTACTGATCATTTTAAGTTGTAGATGATTTGCATTCTTCTGTCATCATGTCATCAGAATACTGTGACTCGAACAGTGAAACATCTTTATCGTATGGACAAGATCTTGTTAAGCGGAGTTTATTCTGCTTATATTAGCTACTTGGCTGGATATGGGGTCTTGAAAGTTTGGAATTATGTAAGAATAAGAGATTTGTTGCATGGGTGTTTGTCCTTGTATTTGGAGCCCTTTCTTCGTTTTGCACTTTCTTAATCTTTGTGGCATGGCCTGATCTGTAGTTCGAGAGGATGACACCAAAGGATGATATTTCACTCCAGAAGATGAATCGGTCTAATTGTTCTAAGATAAATATGATATGCAGTTCGAGATGATGATTCCTTTCTGCAAAATTCACTGTATAGGAATTCTGAATTTGAAGCAGCACTATGGCTACTTTGATCTAGTGGTCTAGAACAATCTCCACATGAAGTTTTACACAGCTACTTGATGCCATTGATTGAAAGAAGGATGGACATTATGAGTCTCAGTTTATCTTGCTTGAACCAGCTATATATGTCCATAATGTGAATGTTTGAATCGCGAGACAAATGGTTTAGACAAGAGAGCATTCTCTAGGACGCTGCTAGTTTTTATATGAAACTGATTATTTGGAAATCCTCAGATAGAGAGAGGGTAATATGCACTGACAGCTTACTGTAATGGAGTTGGACAGATGACACCTTATTTGCAACGCAGCTGAATTTCAAGACTGCTTGATATATGGTTTTGTGATTGGGTCTACTGATCTCATTGACTGAAATTACCTGTCTACAGTTGATGCTTACCGTACTTTATTTTTTTAATTGAATAGTCCAACAACATATAAATCTTGATATATTTGATATATAAGTTTACTTGAGGGACACGCTTGTGGGGTCCACTACATATTGTATTTCAATGATCCGAACAGTTTAGTGTTTAGATATTCCCTAAAAAATCATCTATGCAAAAAATTAACTTGGATCTGAGACCATTTGACCACTCAATTAGATGGTTGTTATTATAGTATTTTCTTGAAGCACCATGTTTGTCTATTTTGTAGGTCTCTATTTGAAGCCTTAATGATTTTCAGTTTGCATGATTTTTTGCAAGGATGATCTATGAATGAAGATTTGTATATGATAATGTGTTTTGATTGAAAAAATTATATGAAATGGTGTAATGACTTTCTTGTCTGAATCAGGAGAAGTCTTGCAAACTCAAATTGCAAAATCCGGTCACTTTTGCCAAAAAGCTGAATAAGAAGTTTGCACTGGACATTTGGGATGGTGTAACTGTCCGTGCAAGGACGCCAAATCTGAAATACTTATCTACAAAGAAGAGAAAAGTAGTTCAAACATCCAAATTGATTCCTAAGCATCAGAAGCAAATTTTTGCTGTTCGCAGCATTCTCAAGAATCATGATGTTTGTGGTCAGAACTCCGCATTTTGCAGCATGCAAGGTGATAGTCAAGCAAATCCTTGTGGTATTCAACACTCAGAAAGGCATGTTAGGTTTTCTGACAAGAATCACATACTTGGCCCAAGGAAGAATGGATTGTCTTCCTCTCAAGACAATACTGTTGGCAACTTATCTTCTGATACCTTTGTTAGTTCATCTGAGAAGGACCAGTCTGCTGACAGTAATAAAGAAGCAGCCCCCATGGAGGTAGACAGAAGAGAAAATCATATTTCAATTGGCACAGATAATGGAACTGAGGCCTGCAGTATAATTGGAAGGAAGGAATTGCCTAAAATATCTGATCATGCTGATATACCAAATTTTCTGAGGCCACATGTTACTCATCAGGAAAAAGTAAAGCATTTGCCTGATAAATCTGTACCTGCAAGTAGAGCTGCAACTGAAGATAATAATTTGAGTATGTTCGGTCAAGGCTATCCAATCACCTCACATAAACCTGCATATGCTGGCATTCCAAGATTGATATCTGCTCTAGAAGAACCACACATAAATACTCATGGAGTTGCTGTTTCCAGAGCTTTTGGTTCCAGTGGGACGATGATTGATCATATTGCACATCCTATCCATGGTGTTGCTGCTATGAGTTCAAGGGAAAATGCAGGAGCATTTCCTGAACCTTTTTCATCTAGTTTCACTTTCAATGAGATTGCAAGGGGGGGCCTTCCATTGCCTTCACAATCTGAAATAGATAAATTTAGTGATCATGGTCTGCACCGCCAATCATTATGTCCTCCCATGAACTTGATGGCTGCCTCATATCCCTTTCCAGAGTGGAAACAAAGAGCGGGTTCCTTTAGGGAAAGGTGCTTGGATGAGGATTTTATTGGTTTGCCTCTCAATTCGCACGGTGAACTAATCCAGTTGAGTCCAACAGGTAGAAGTGGGTTCAACCAGCTGAGGAAGTTGGATACTATAGCAGGGTCCTCCAGTAGCTTACCTGTGCAGAATTTTACCCAGTTGATGAGTACGAGTAGCTTACCAGCGCATAACTTTACCCACAGAACGAGTATGGAAGATTCTTTGACTGCATACAAGAAGCATTTTGTGGAGAAAGAACTTCCAAATGATCAGTTGAATTTGTTTCCTATGCAGAATTATGTTAAAGAGAATTTTAATTCACATTTTCCAGACAGGTTAGGTGTTACTTACTTGGATAGCACTCAAAGAGCAGGTATACACCAGCTTGATTTTGAGAGCAGCAGAAGCAGCTACTCTTTTCATCCGCTTGATTCAGGCCTGAATCTCATGAATATCTCTACCAGTGGATGCAGACAATTTGACCAGGTACAGAACCAAAAGACAGTGGGAATGATCCCTATGGATAATTCAGGTCACACATCGTCGAATATGAATCAACCAACAATGCGGTTAATGGGAAAAGATGTTGCAATTGGTAAAAGTAGCAGAGAGATTCAAGGATTTGAGGATGGAAAAGTTTGGACAGATAAGGAGATTATAGCAGAGCATTGTCCTTCAAGTACTGCCTTGCATAGTTCTTCCTTGAACAAGAATTTCCAGCAGAGTTGGCTTCCAGACACGGCATCAGGGAAGTTGAAAGAAACTGTAGCACAGTCTTCAGAAATTCACAGCGAACACGCCTCTCTACAAAATTTTCTGATGAAAGCCCCAGAATATAGATTTCCTCATCCTTACCACAACTGGCAAAGCAATTCAGATTTTCAAAATGGCAGCCTTACCGCCGACAGAAGTCCAAGTTCGAATTTGATCCATTTTGCTCAGTTACCCACTTCACCTGCAATGTTTAATAGGGCACCCAACTTCCCAGAAGCCTTCATATCTGGAGCTGAATCTCTACAGTTTGGCTCTCAACTACCTGTATTTTCTGCTCCACAAACTACCTGTGGACATGGGGTTTTAAGACCTGCTGAATTCAATTACAAGCAGAACCCACCGCATTTTACAAAATCAGCATTTGACTTTCCTTTCCTAAATCCGGAATGCAGAGAAAATGTCCAATCACCATGGTTTCAGAGCTCCTCCAAGGGCCTGCCCCCTTGGTTGTTACATGCAACACTACAGGGAAAACCACCAAATACAGCTTCTCAATCTTTTCCAGATGTGGGTAGGAAAAACCATCATCATACTATGCCGAGAAGTGATATTTTCACCGCGCCGTTCATGCATCATTCATCTGAATTTTCTTATCCTTACAATTTGATGACCTATCATTCACAAGTGATGAGTTCACCTAGTCCGGCAACTACATTTCTGCCTCCACATGCTCCAGCCAATACAGGAGGAAATCAAAAAGCAATGTCTGCCATCAATATGGGCTACAGAAACAGAACCAAGGTAAAAGACAGATTGAAATCAAAAGATTTTGGTATCAAAGACCCTTATCCTTGCAAGAAAACCAAGAGACTTGCAGTAAAAGCAGTTGATTCAACAATTCCTCCTAACATATTCAACTTAGAAATGCAAGAAAAGTTGAGTGCTGTTGCAGGGTCATCAAGAGGGAACTTTTTCAGTGAAATGCAGTCTACTTCGAGAGCACTTGACGTTGACTCGAGTAGGACGAAAGCAAGTGATTTGGGTTGCAGCCTATATGAAATTCAAGAGGATGGATTCGGAAGCTTTGGAATTGAGTCCTCCAAAGTAGATGGTATGGTGAAATCTGGTCCCATTAAGCTATGTGCAGGAGCAAAACACATCCTAAAACCCACTCAAAATGTGGATCAGGATATCTCCAGGCCAATCCATTCAACTATCCCCTTTGTTGCAGTACCTAATGGTTGTAGAGAACCAGAGCCTCAGAAGAAATCAACAAAGATTTACAGGTTTTAGAAGTAAGTCTTATTTGATTGAAAATATATTCCTTCCCCATCAACTTAATTTTTTAATTATCTGTCATGCTTATAAGCATCACATTTTTTGTGAATGCAACAGGATCACTACTTAGTCCAGGATACAGAAATGTTCATGTGTGAATACCAGCATAGTTCATACATGATTCGGCGCCGTTGCACTTGCAGTGACAATTCGAAACACTTTTAACTTGCAGTGACAATTCGAAACACTTTTCCAATTATAACTGTCGAAAAACTTTGTATTTTTAACATCTGTTTCTTCAGCAATGTATTCCCCACATGGCTTCTGTAAAATATGACATTGCAGTAGTGGCGTATGTGCTTATCTTACAATTCAAGTTCTTTTCAGACTACATCATTCTGTTTCTGGAATTCTACAAAGTGAAGTGATTATTGTTTTCTTCATCATATGAATTTTTTGAAGTCTGAATATCCTAATATCCTTTGGTTAGCAGGGAATTTATCAGTTTTTTTTATACCTTTTTTTGGCTTTTATTAGCATATTCTCCAAAACTCGAGAGAAGTTATTATATATACCAAAGAAAGAAGATTAATCACAAGAAACAGAAAATGTAGGCCTCCATGACATAAAACACAGCGCATCAAGAACAAGTGCTGTATTTAATCCATGCATATATATATTATATATATATATATATCATTGAATTTCATTGTTTCTTACAGTTTTCACATTTACATATTATATAATATAAAAAAAAGAAAAAAAAAAAGAAGACCAGATGTCTTTGCAGCATCTCCTCAGTACTTCCTAGCTTCTTTTTCAGCCTGAAAAATTTGATCACGCACTAATCAATTTAATCCCATATAGAAGGCATGCATAAATATTAACTAATGGATCATGATTAACATTAATTTATACGTACGGCTTTGACGACTCTTTCGAAAGCATCAATACCATGTTGATCGATGAAACGCTCAACGGACCTCCTTGCATCCAGGCTCATCATTTGGAGGACCTTCTTCTGACCCTCAGGCTTGTTTGAGCTCACCATATACCCTCCAAGCTTCACATATTTTCTCACAATGTTCTCATAAATATAGGCTGCCCCATTGTAAAATGGCAACACCAACCACATGCAAAACAGCAGCTTCATATACGGCCATATTGGGATCCTACACACACATAATACGTTGAATAAGTCTTTTTTATACGAGCGATATTTAGGGGATGGAGGATCTCGAGTGTAAGGTTTACTGCGCACTTTTGAATTACAAACCCCTTGCATATATTGAATATATGTCAGAATGTATGTTTATATATGCATGCAAAATTAAAATTTTGACTTACCAAGCCAAGACTTTCCAGCAGGATAGCTCGAATAATGTTATGAAGGAATATATAACCCAATACGTTAGCCACTGTTGATCGTCTAGTGCAGAAGGGCTCTCGATTGCTCGCATTGATGCATACCTGTTCATGATCCACAAATGGAGAAACATATTTTAGTTAGCTCAGGTCTTTGCTTTTGTTGCCCTTTTTAATTTCTCTTATTGCGAGATGTCATTTACTTACAAAGGATAAAGAAGCATCACTCCTGGCCTGCAGATGATCAAAAGAAAAAAAAAATCTCAAGATCAGTTCATTCTTAAGACTTGAAAAATGATGACAATTTAATTATTTATTTGGTTTAAAATGAATCATCAATTAACAAGTTGCAGTTCTTATGATCAAACATTTTTTTTGGGTAGATTTCCAAAATATCCACATGAACAATCTTGGAAGTTATAAGATGGTGATCAAAACATTAATGTTAATATGCAACAAGCTAGGAGTATTATAAAAAATGAAGGTAAACTTTAGGGGTTGTTACAAGCAAGTACCCAACCTTTAGGGGTCATTACAAGCAAGTACCCAACCTTCTAAATTTTTTAAGCACATATCTGAACTCTTGGAACACCTAAAAATTAATCACGCTGTCCTTTATTGGAGTCGTTAAGTGATTACGTGGCATCAGGCAATGTACGTTTTATTTATTTCATGCATCAGACAATGTACGTTTTATATGCAATCTAAAGCAAATCAAGATGTCATCTATGTTATATACAGATGAAATTCTGTGTATGGAAGTTGACATTTTAAGAGAAAAGCGCCCTTCATACAAGACTTTTTCCACTTTTTGCAGAAGACAGACATATCACATCCGTATACAGTTATAAAATATGAAAAATATGCACCCACACAAAAACAAAAAAAAAAACAAAAGTTTAGGTGGGTTTTCTGCTAATTACCCGATTAATGTGTCCAAATTTTTAGCAACGGCTGCAAGAACACCCATGCTTTCTGATGATTCTGATGATGAAATGCTATCTGACTGCTCACAAATTAATTCCTGCAATATTTGGATTGAGATATGTGGGGTTTTTGGGAAAGCGTGAGGAATGTGTGCCCTATAAAGGTTTCTTTGCCCTGTGTGAGAGGTTGACGAAGGGCTGAAGCCAAGTAAAGGATTTTTGCTACCAGAGGTTTTCTGTTGAGAAGAAACAACGTTCTAGCTGTTCATGAACTGACCACATATCTCAAGGGCATTAGCATATATACCTTACCTTTCTTTCTCTCGAAACTTTTCTCCTTTTCTTAAAGGTGCTTTTACGTTGGCATCTCATAACATATTTAATTTCAGTTTTTCTTGAACATAAATTAAAGTTTTACTTAACGTATATAAAAAAAATGCCATGGATGTTAGAGATATGATTCAAAACATATAGAAAATAACTAAATTAAGATAAGAAATAGTAATTAAAGGCATGCTTAGGTGTAAATAAATGAACTTAATTAATTAGAATAGAATGCATGCTTATGAGAAAAGAAGATGGGCACACCTACTTTTTGAAAAAATATTCTTGAATACGACAAATGTAGTTTTGTCACATTCACGTTTCATGATTACAATCATGTCTCATATATATTAGTCGTTATATGATAAATTAATATGAGAAAATAAGAAAGAATTCATTCTCGATATATACATTTGATTTATATTTACCGTATGAAGGAAAGAGAGACGAATGAGAAAAAAAGAAAAAGATAAAAAGTTGGTAATTTAAAAAAGAAAAAAAGAAAAGTAGAAGCAAACCCTAAAGGTGGTGGTAACAAAAGGCAAGAATGAATCAAGTCAAGGCATGTGAGACAGGTAGGGCAGGGTACAACTAAAACACTTGATTATTTTGTGGTCCAGAAAACAGTAGCCTTCCTTAATAATTCCAAAAGCTTTCATCATTACATGTACTTTGTGCATTAACTTGATGCATCCCCAACATGTTATGTAAAAATGACCTAACCTAACCTAACACAACGAACACATCAATTACATATCCCGCTGCACTTCTACTGCGTGTGGTTGCCATGCTTGGTAGCTGCTGTGACAATGGAGATCCTTTTTGGTCTGTTAACTTAAATGGAGTTTTGTGTGATTACATAAAGTTAAAAAGAACAATCGTCTAACATGCGTGTGATCATATGATATATTTTATTACGAATATGCATGAGAAGAGTTAAAGATAGTTATTCATGTGAACGTGAGCAAAAGCTATCGTCAATGTAACATGTCAAGTGTCAAATTCCACGGACTGTAAAACTTTGTACCCGTTTTGTAAGTGCAACAATTGTATTAATCATGAAATCATATGTAGTTAATATGGGAATAGCACGTATTATCATGCTAGGATAGCAAGTTGAAATAAATCGAGGACTATTTGAATTCCCCCCAACATATTCAACTTACAAAAATAGTAGAGGCGAGCAGCTATTCTCGGTTTTTTTTCTTATTTTTAAAAAAAATAGTATTGCCGCCGGCTATACTCGTTCTTCCCTAATTTTTTTATAAAAATAGTATAGCCGGGTGGCTTTGTTGTTTTCGACACGTGGCGCCTTAGCTCTAAGCGGGTCCTTTTAAAAAAAATCTAGTATAGCTGTCAGGGTATACTATTTATATTATATTTAAAAAAAAAAAAAAAAGACGGACCTGCCTTGCAATTAGGTGCCCACGTGTCCAAGTACGTATAGCCGTGCGGCTATACTATTTATATTAAAAAAAGAGGACCCACCCAGCGATTAGGTGCGTATGTGTGCAGGTATTGCTGTACTATTTAATAATAAAAAATTATGAAAAAAGAAGGTCCTAGTTGCATTAGTTTATACTTTATAGATTTTAATTTGCTATTTCAACTCTACAAACTAGTAAAACTTAGTTGCATAATAAACCAACAGCCCGTAAGTTCTTATTTTCGTATTCCTTTATTGATCTTTTTTTATATAATAAAAATGTGTATAATACGTGAATTTTGTGTGTATTATTGAAAATTTTATAAAAAAATACGTGTATGAAACATTAAAGTGATAAATTCTTTATATGGGTAATAACTCTAGAAAAGTAAAAAATGAAAAGGAGACAATAGAGACTCAGGTAATGGCCTAATAATAATGGATAATGCTCTAAACTACTCTTATCAATAAACGAAAATCGGGGAAATTTTTTGAAAGAAAAAAAGGATCCCAGTATATATATAAAGTGTATAGCGTATTGACTATACTATTCTTTTATAAAATTTTTTTTTGAAGAAAAATAGAGAATCCCCAGGCGGCTCATCTATT